TATTTGGCTATCTTGATATTGCGTCCGTTTATACTAGTATTGAAAATGTACACCATCAGTGTGAGGCGTATAATTTTTGAATGGAACAAAATAAAAACTTCGGGTTTGTGTAAAATTGTCGATCTTGAGCTGGCAAATCTAATGCACTAATTACAATTGAAATTCGATACAACTTTTGTAGCACTTTAAATACTTCTTTGAATTTTATTGACTGCTCATCAGAATCATAAGATGACTTTTTTAATCATCTATAGAAAGATGCAGAATGCTCACCTCTATTGAATGATGAAAACCACAGACCGATAGCTGTTTCCGTTGAAAAGTTATTCAAAAAAATAATCACCCTTCTTCTATTTTGAAATAGATAATAGTTGATATGATCTGTAAGATTTTGATAATCAAAAAATGAACATTGTTCTTCCATTTTCAATAGTTGATGATAATAATATAGAGTAACGTCAACATTTTCTTTTTTCGTATTAATATAATCAATTATATCAATGCATTGGACAGTATTCAGACTTTGATAAGAAAAGCACACATTTGCAGATCTCATATGCTTGAGTAAAATATTTTAAGGCAACTGTCAAACTCGTTTTTCTTTTTCATGTACATTCAATCAATGAATTTAATAATCATCACTACCGTAGTAAAACTATTCTCTAAAGAGACTTTTTCATTGATTTCCAATGCTTGTTGATAATAATCGAGGGCAAGATCAAGCTCTCCTTTTCTTTTATAAGTATGTTCAATATTGTAAAATGAATCAGCTATAAAAAGAATGATAGGATGGTGAATGTTTTTGATAAATTACATAAACTTTCTCATAGTTTTTCTATGCCAAATTTATTTTCCTCTTTTGATGGTGTACATTTTCAATACTATTATAAACGGATGCAATATCAAGATAGTCAAATAGAAGTGATTTGAGTAACATATTGAAATAATTTTTAACTCAGTCTACTTCATCTAACTTCTACATCAGAAGACGATGAGAATAGATGATTGCAATGTAGTCTTGCGTTTCTTGTTCAGCTAATTTAAGATAATCTTTCATTTTTTCTACATCTTCATGAATTGAATACAATTGTACTTTCCATACTCTCAATGTCGAATCGAAATTGACAGAACGCATATTAAAGGAAGAATTATGATTGAATAGAATGTCTTCTTCTTCACCTACTGTTCGACACTGATACTCAATATTACAATAAAATGATTATTTTCAGCGATAGATCAGCTTTAATTCTGAATAAAATTGACTCGAAATCTTTCATCACACAATTTGAACCAGCAATCTGAAGTGATACATTGACACTTCATGAACTGGATTATAATTCAATAGTTACAATGATTTTACCAATGTTATTTTCCAATTTGTCTAATTCTTCTATCGGAAGTGGAGTTGCTCGATAAACACTTGAAGTATTTTTATCTTTCAGATTCCGATTTTCATGTTCGATAGCAGTAGATAATTGAATGACAACAAAGCTATTAATGCAATTTCTGTAAGATTAAAATGTGAAACACGATGTAGTTGTACAGGCTGATCGTAAGGAAATTGTTTTATTCTATCTATTTTAGGACACATTTCTTCGCCATTCTTTTACTTAATCTTCTAAAAATACAATCAAAAAAGTAGTTCATATATATTATAACGAGACGTTGTAAATATACGATGTTTGATCGTATATGAACAACGTCTATCATGGTCTATGATTAGTGGTGTAAGCCGAAGGGTCAAACAGCGGCGGCTATTTTAATGGTTTAACTTTGTTTCCATCGCGGCGGCGCCTACTAGACTCTATGTTTTTCTGCACCGGCGGCGGCTTTGACAACCAAAAAAAACAAACCTTTTTGCTCCTAAAAATGATAGTGGTGGCGGCGCATCATACTATTATCAAAAATTTCGTTCGTGGCGGCGGCGCAACGGCTGAACTAACTTTTTCACAGCGGCGACGGCTAAAAAATTCGTAAAACTATCTTCGATTCCGCGGCGGCGCAACTGGATAGCTTACACCTCTATCTATGATGAATCATTTCTAACATGTCTGTGACGACTTGTCGATCCCAAAGAACAATCTTAGATCGGATTTCACAAAAGAAGAATTTTCTTAGAAAAATAGATTTCATCATAGTAAAACTTATACCTCTTCATATGAATTTCACAAAAAAAATCAGAATATTAGTATGAATTATTATAAGAGTTGATTCGGCATATTCTATTAAACATTGTTTAATTATAGTCCTTTGATTCTCAATCAATCACTCAATATTTGCTCCATGTCGTCATATTCATGTAGAACTAATAGACAAGTATTCAGCTATAATATTGTTTACAAAATTATGATTACATCAAAATAATGCTTTTTCATCCACTTATATATAGAAGATAGTATTGATTCTTTTGCTAAAAGTCGTTCACAAAAAGTGCCAAAAATGTCTTCATCAATATGTCGTTTTCGGTGAACTAGAGTGTTAATTATTTCATATTGAGGATAATATCATTATCTCTTTTAATATCAGAATGCGTAATTGTTGAAAGACAAAAAACGAAGTGAATAACAATCCAGTGCTACATCAAAATACAGGATGATCCAAAAGTTCCTGGAACTTTGGTATATCTATTTAAGGAAACGGCATTCCATGGGAAATTTCATCCTTTTAACTCACCATTTAGATATCCTTTCGAAGTAAACAAAAGGTATTGAATTGATCTCCTTGTTTAAAACCCTTGCTAAATTGTTGTAGTTGCTGATTATCTAGTCTATCTTTAATACACCTCAATGACTAGAGCCTGGAAGCTTAGTCTAAGGTGAGTACACTTGGCAAATCTTACCTTCATTCCTCTTAGATTTAAGTAAATAACGGCATTATTTTACATGTTGCTAAAAAAACTCCTGATCCAAACTGATTGGACTAGACCATGGTGATACGTTTTTGCTCGATCAATTTTTTATTTGTCAATTTAAACATTTATCACTAACATAGATATAATTACTAGCCTCTATAGAAACCACTAGATGCTTGAATTTCGTTATTCGACTGGCTAACTATAGCAAGATTAAAAATATCAATTATTGTAAATGAACTTACGTGAAGCATTCGTATATCATAAAACTTCACAATCACTTTTCAAATCTAAAAAAAAGAACGAAGATTTAATTGTAATCTATGCATAATTCATCAAAAATTTGACTTCATTTGTTCTAGAATGCATTTTCCAGCAGCTTACCGTTTAAAATGATTTGACCATTACGATACTGACTGCTTCGCTCAACCATTCGTTGTTCAAAAAGTATAATATTATTCGGTGGTTTGCGTATTGCCAATTGTTTTACAACACTCACATCACTATCATCTTCCCATCGCACAGCACAATATTCATCACTTCGAACTTATTCATTTCAAGCTAACAAAGCAACTTACGAATACAGGCAAAACAAAAGTGATTATATAGGCTACCATTTCAAAAAAGCCTTATTTGTATGTGTATCATTAACTGGTCTCATACATTTTACTGTTTCAAGATTGCTATGAATGTATTTATTTTTAGATTTATATCGAACATATGTTGCTGGGCGACAGACGAGCAATTGAATAGTTAAAACGTTTGATTTGTCTATTCTATTCAGTAATTCATCTTCCGAATCACTCTCAATGTTAACACCATTAAATTCAATAGCTCGATCGAAACATTTAACACCAGCACATAAAGCTAATTTAGAGTTCGATTCATCCTTTAATGATTCAATATAATGAAAATGTTCAAAACTGTGACATTGATAAGATAGACCAATTAGATGATCAAGAGTAGAACATTGCATAGTGCATAGGCAAATATCATCTTCAACATAGACAAGTGTAGTGTAGTATGTTTGTCGATAGCAGCTGAACCTATAATTGTAGTTAAAGACATATAATTACTAAACATATATCCGTAAATTATATACTATTTGAAAATATATATGATAAATAAAAGTTTTTTTCTTAAATCAAAATAACTTACCGTATTTTTCATTTATCTAATTGGATAATTTGTCTTGTGGATTTTGTCCATAAGCCGATGCTCGACGTACTTTTCCTTTTTCGTCTCGATATTCTATGATGCGATAGAAATCGGTAATCCTAACTTTTTCACCTTTCTCATATCTTTTAATGATAGATGTTTTGTCATTTGATACTAAGATACTTAGGGTGGTCCAAAAGTTCTGGCCATGGAGTTTTAAATTCATTAAAATACTCAGTTTTGAAAGTTTTATTGCATAAATAGTTAGTAAAATATCTCGTCTATAATTATACATATAACAAGTCTATC